ATATGTATGGATATACATTTGAACATCAAACTTTCTATAAACTCGATTTCTGAAGACAGACACATTAAATTATCGTATCCATGGTGGAATAATAGGAAGTTAGGCACATTATGTTCACGACAAAATTACAAAAAAAGATACACTAAGTTGAGTGTTGTCAAGAAAAGAGAAATTATGTTGTTTTTTTTTATTTAAATAAAAAAAGTAGACAAAAAAAGAGGTTCTGGACAAAAATAAAAAGCACATATTTATGAGAATATGTTTTACATTGTAAAACGTATTCTCGTATTACGTTTTAAAGGTACAACGTATTCTCATAATACGTTTTATGGTGAATTAAATTAATAATGTGATTAAGTTAATTAAAATTAACATAAAACGTGATTAAATTAATTTAATAAATGTAAAACGTATTGTAGAAATACGTTTTATAGTAAAACGTTTTTCTAAAATACGGTTTATTAATAAAATTAAGTTAATATATTATTTATTGTTTAAAAAGCTTAAAATCCTATTTTCAAAATGCGTTTTATAGATAAAAAATTTTATAATTAATTTTTTCTAAAAACAATTTTTTTTAATAAAACGTATTTTGGACATACGTTTTTTATATTCCCTAATTTTGCCCTAAATTCAATTTTGCAATAAAACGTATTTTCGAAATACGTTTTATGTTTGCCCTAATTTTCCCTAATTTTGAAACCGTATTACCAGAATACATTGTATAAAAAATAAAAATAAAAATAAAAACGTATTTTGGGAATACGTTTTATTATGCAGAAACAGTAACTATCCAAGAAAAATAAAAAAACACATCTGTTTGTCGGGATGGATTCTACAACCAAATATTAATTTCACAGACTAATAATAATCAGTTCACAGAAGCTAACATACACACAAAATTCAACCACAATAATTTATTAAAATACAAATATGTCCAAATATCAGTATATAGATTTCAAGAAAAAAAAAAACAAAAATGTCCACAAATTTCTACAACACAAACTAACTAGGAGTGAATGGATTCTTAGGTTTGCACTGTCGGGACCCCTTCCGAGGCATTGGTCGTGAAGAAGACGAGGCTGTGGGCGTGTCAGCTTCTTCTTGTTCTTCATCTGAGTAATTCATTTTTTTTTAAAGAATCGGAGAGTCCACTTGACAATAAATAAATAAATAAATTAAAAAAAATCATATTGAAATTAAGTAAAAAATTCTCACCTTCTTCTACTTCTCTCTCAGGCCCGGTGTTGGCAGCGGGTTCGCGGACATCTTCTACCTCCACCAATGTGGGAAGCGGGTTGATGCCTCGCCCGGTACGACTGCGTCTTTGGGGTTGGACATAGCTCTCCTGAGATAGAACTTGACTCGACGACGTCCCTTGCGTGACCCCTTGATCTCCGACAGTCAGTCCACTGTAGAGAAGGTTTT